GAAAAGGGTAAAATATATACCAAGAATATAAATTATTTATTTGCTTATTATTAACTAATCAGTTTTCGAATTTCAATGAGGAAGAAGAAATCTATGTTATGACGCAATCTATTTGTTTATATAGAAATAGAATTTAATTCATTTTTTTTCATTATTCTATTTTAGTTTTTATATATAATATAATAATAAAATTTCATATTGAATATAATTAGCGTACATCTATAAGCGCGACTTGAATGAGAATTTTGAATTTTTACGTTATTAATCAGAAAAGATCTTTTTAAAATGATGATTAGTACACGTCTATCATCACGTTCATTTCAATCAATGATAAATGATGAAACTTTATGTGATGATTTAACAACATTAAATCAAAATTCCTCATCATCAATTTTATATCATACTTTGAATATTCATTGTATCAGTGAAGAATATATACTTCGAAGTAAGTTTTTTTCTTCTTCTGACAAATTTTTATTGATTTAAAAATTTTTTCTGTATCTTTTCGTCATACAGAAGAGAATTCTTGTTAATTGAATAAAACACAATTGATTGAAGAAGATAAATTAACGTATAATAATGCAAAGGATACAAATGATTATTCCGAATCGTTAGAAAATCTTCTTAATTTAACACCAAAAAATATTACAATTATTGAATTAATTACATCGGAACAACGATTCGTCAATGCTATGAAAAATATTTTAAAGGTAAACTATCATTTATATCATATGTTTTTAGTCTAATAAAACCTCTTTTATTTTTCATAATCATTTTAATTCTTACTCTATTGATAAATAATAATTATTTGAGATTTTATTATCCGAGTGAATGATTGAAATTCAAAATCGTTCATCTCTTAAACATAAATATTCGTTCCTTTACTTAGGGCGGTCCAAAAGTTCTAGTCATAGCATTTAAAAGATTTTTTCGGATAAGTGAACCAATGGAAAAATGAAAAACTAAATATACCATGTGATAGAGTTTTTTGAAGTGCGTCGAATAATATATAGTAAATCTTGTTTTGATAGGACTTTAAAGAACCTAGAGTGAATTTGCTGATAGACGACTACACACGCACCCCGCTACATATAGGAGGTTATAGTTCGTCAAAAACTCTACAAGATGGTATGTAAGAAAAAATATTTTACATATTACTTTCGGCTAATGCCAACGGACACAATATTCAGAAATTTATCATGCTTAAATATGGATATGTAATCGACTATCAGTAAAATGACTGTTGTTCCTTTAAATTCCTATGAAAACAAGATTTACTATATACCATTCGATGTGTCTCTGAAAGCTTTACAACATGGTATATTTGTTTTTTCATTTTTCAATAGGTCTACTTATTCGAAAAGATCTTTTAAATGCCATAACCAAAACATTTGGACCACCCTAAGTATATTCAACAGTAATTGAATTTGAATGACATAGAAAACTATGAGATGTGAATGTAGGTGTTGATGAGTTTTCTTTCGTTATTATTACAATCTCATTCAATCAGAAGACTTTACGATTCTGTCGATATTTTCTTTATCTAAATAATGATATCAAGAGATTTCTATCGTATTTTATTTTTTCAGAACATATATAACACCAATGTTAGAAAGCAATATTTTATCATCATCTCATATCGATGCACTTTTTCTTAATTGGCCAAGTTTAACACGTATTCATGAAAAACTTGCTAAGTAAAACTAATTTTCATACTTTCATTGATTGTACAAATTTTCCATCTATTCTGTATAGTGCATTATTAACTGCTTTAAAAACTGAAGGCGAACAAATATCTATTGGAAACGTTTTATGTCAATTGGTAAGTAAAATCAAACTAATCAACATTACCAAATAATTTCAGATAATTAAGTAAAAGAATATTGAAGAATTACATCGAATATAACAATTGTTATAGGATTGACAACATCATGCTTTATCTTTTAATATCAATAGAAATGTTCTAAGACCTTTTCTTTTTAAATAGATTCCTCAATTAATAACTGAATATGAAATTTACTTTCGTTTTCATCCAACAGCAATGAAATGTTTTCGTGAACATTTTAAATTATCTTCTAAATTTCGTAGTTTTATGCAGGTTACATAAAATAATCTATTTTATTCTTTACTATCTATCTAGAAATTTTCTTAGAAAACGAAAACAACAAACTTATGGAATAGGTATGATGAGTGATGCAAATATTTTAACATTACCATTACAACGTATTGCTAAATATCCATTTATGATCTATCAAGTATTAATAACCAAAAACAAAAAAGGAAAAAATAATTTTTTTTTTAATTTGAATAGATTTTAAAAACTACATCTAATGATCATCATGATCATAATCAATTACATAATTCATTAAAACAAGCAAATGCATTACGTGAAACAATAAATAATGCTATTGATGAAGAAATAAATCGAACAAAATTTCAATGGTTACAAAAACATGTTGATTGTACAAAACTAAATGAAGTAAAATTAAAAATCAAAAAGAAATTTTTTTATGATCGAAGTTTTTCTCTTGTTAGACAATCATATTTGATTCATTCATTCATTTTCGTGAACAAAGAAAATTATTACATTATAGTCACATACGATTGGTATTCATTAATTCTTTTGTTTCTCTTGTAATTTAGGTTTTTTTCAATTGTAGTCAATGTCAACAAATAATCTTTTATATGTTATGTTATTCAATGATTTTTTACTTTTAACTCGTATAAAACGACCATTCATCAAGGGGGAAAAAGCGATACTTCATCTACTCCCATACTTTTGGAAGTACAATGGGAGTACAGTGGGAGTACGATGGGAGTACAGTGGGAGTACAGTGGGAGTACAGTGGGAGTACAGTGGG